TGGGCTGTTATCCCCTCTCAGACCCCATAACGGGAACGACCCACACGTTTTGGGCTGCGCAGCCCCTCAGCCCAGCCCAGCCAATGGCAGCAGCAGCCCGGGCCCCATCCATTACCGGGCAATAGAGATTTAAGGGATAATGGCCATGGCAGCAGAGTATACAAAGCAATAAACTGCTTTTGAGCTTGGTTAAATGCCAAGTGATGCCGAGGCTCCACGCCATAAACATTATTTCTATTATATGACAAGATAAGAGGATACAATAAACCGGCAAGAAGGGAGAGGGGAAAAAAATAAAAAAAATCATTTTCTGGCCTGGTGAAAAGTTCTGGGCTCGGCGTGCCCTGGACGCTGCACAAAGCAGCACCTCCGAGCAAGGGTTTGGGGGAAATAAATTGGCAAATTACGGGGGGTTTAAAAAGCAAACGACTGTCTGAGGAAATGGCCTGGATAACTGGAGCTCTGCAATTGGGGCTGCAGGATGATTTGTGTGCCCTGCAAAGGGAAACGCTGCGGAGGGCAGGGCTGGGGAAGCCGTGCTCCCTGCTCAGGGTATTCAGTATATTCTGTATATTTAGTATATGCTGTATATGCAGTATATTCAGTATATTCTGTATACTCAGTATATTCAATATATTTGGTATATTCAGTATATTCTATATATTCAGTATATTCGGTATATTCTGTATATTCTATATATTCGGTATATTCTGTATATTCAATATATTTAGTGTATTCTATATATTCAGTATATTCTGTATATTCAGCATATACAGTATATTCAATATATTCAGTATTTTCAATATATTCCATATATCCAATATATTCAGTGTACTCTGTATATTCAGCATATTCCATACATTCAGTATATTCCATATATTCAGCATATTCGGTATATTTGGTATATCCAGTATATTCCATATATTCAGCATATTCAGTATATTGCGTATATTCAGCATATTGCACATATTCCAAATATTCTGTATATTCAGTATATTCCATATCTTCAGCATATTCAGTACATTGCGTATATTCCATATATTCTGTATATTCAGTATATTCCATATATTCCGTATATTCAGTATATTCCATATATTCTGTATATTCAATGCATTCCATATGTTCTGTATATTCTATATGTTCAGGGCATTCTGTATATTCCGTATATTCCGTATACTCAGTGCCAGGCCCCGGCGCTGCCCTGGGCAGCGGGGGTGCCCGCGCAGGTTCACCGACAGGGAAGCTGCTGCAGGAGGACGCCCAGGAGAGCCTGGAGCCCCCAGGCGGCCCCCGCTGGGTTCCTGGGGGGCTCTGGGGCCGTTCTACAGACGTGGGGAAAGCTCCCGAGGCAGCCCCAGAGCTGTGCTCTGGGGGCCTTAATGAGCCAGACCGAGGTTTAATGTCCTAATTAATGAGGCGGAGCTGTCCCACTGCACAGAGCTGGGCACAGCTCCCAGGGCCAACAGCAGCGCCCGAATTCCCCCTAAACTGAAGGTTTAATTCCCAATTTCCCCAAATCTGAGGGTTTAATTCCCAAATTCCCCCTAAACTGAAGGTACAATCCCAATTTCCCCAAATCTGAGGGTTTAATTCCCAAATTCCCCCTAAACTGAAGGTACAATGCCAATTCCCCCAAATCTGAGGGTTTAATTCCCAAATTCCCCCTAAACTGAAGGTTTAATTCCCAATTTCCCCAAATCTGAGGGTTTAATTCCCAAATTCCCCCTAAACTGAAGGTACAATCCCAATTTCCCCAAATCTGAGGGTTTAATTCCCAAATTCCCCCTAAACTGAAGGTACAATGCCAATTCCCCCTAACCTGAAGGTTTAATTCCCCCTAACCTCAAGGTTTAATTCCCATTTCCCCCTAACCTGAAGGTTTAATTCTGAGCTCCCAATTCCAACAGCAGAGCACAAATCCCCCCTAACCTCAAGGTTTAATTCCCCCTGACCTCAAGGTTTTATTCCCCAATCTCCCCAAACCTGAAGGTTTAATTCCCCCAAACCTCAAGGTTTTTTTATTCCCCAATTCCCCTAACCTGAAGGTTTAATTCCCTAATTAACGAGGCGGAGCTGATGGAACACCCCCAGTCCCAGCTCTCAGCCCCTGGAGTGGCTGGAATTGAGAGCTTTGGGGTGATCAGCAGCACCCAGAACTGAGAGCTTTGGGGTGACAGCGCTTGGAATTCAGAGATTTGAGGTGATCAGCAGAACTGGGAGGTTTGGGGGTGACAGCAGCACAAAACCCACAGAACTGAGAGCTTTGGGGGTGATTAGCAGCACAAAACCCACAGAATTGAGAGCTTTGGGGGTGATTAGCAGCACAAAACCCACAGAATTGAGAGCTTTGGGGTGACAGCAGCACAAAACCCACAGAATTGAGAGCTTTGGGGGTGAGAGCCCCTGGATTGATGTCACCAGGGAATCCCGGCTCCCAGGGCCGTTCTGGGGGCAGCAACAGCCCCAGCTCCCCCTGCCCCGCTCCCGGTTCATTCCCAGCCCGTTCCCGGTTCGTTCCCAGCCCGTTCCCAGCCCGTTCCCGGTTCATTCCCAGCCCGTTCCCGGTTCATTCCCAGCCCGTTCCCGGTTCAAGGTCCGGGTGATTCTCCCCCTGTCCCCGCGGCGCTCCGGACACCCGAGCCGGGCGGGGGCCGGAATCGCAGCTGTGCCAGCCCGGCACGGAGCGGGAGGGTCCCGGAATAGAAATCTCCCCCCGCAGCCCTGGCAACCCAAACATGTTTAACGTGTTCACAGCCCCGCCGAGCCCCGCGGCACGCACGGAGCGCGGCGTGACCGCGGATGGAGCGGCTGCCCCTGCCCCGGCGGCTGATCCTGCAAGGAAACGGGAACGGGAAATGGGGGGGGAAATGGGGGGGAAATGGGGGGAAAAGGGAAAGAGAAAAGGAGGGGAAAGTGAGGGGGGGAAAGGAGGGGAAAAGGAGGGAAAATGGGGGGAAAAAGGGAGGAAAAAGGGAAGGAAAAAGGGAAGGAAAAAGGAGGGGAAAAGGAGGACAAGCGAAGAAAAAAGGGAGGAAAAAGGAGGGGGAAAGGGAGGGAGAAAAGGAAGAAGGATGGAAAAAGGGAAGGAAAAAGGGAAGGAAAAGAGGAGGAAAAAGGGAGGAAAAAAGAGTTAAAAAAGGAGGAAAAAAGAGGGGAAAAAAAAGAGGAAAAATGGAGGGAAAAGGGGTTTAGGGCACAAAAGATGGGGCTGGTGTCAGCTACAGAGGGAAGCAAGCAGCTGCTGGGGGAATCATGAAGCCACCCCAGGACATTCCCTGATGCCATCCCAGTCCTGGATCTCTGATTTCCATCCCATCCCATCCCATCCCTGGATCCCCAATCCCAGCCCAGCCCAGCCCTGCCCTGCTCTGAAGGACGTCCTGGGAGCAGCAGCGGCCCCGAGGTCAGGCCGGATCCCCATGAATCACCCGCTCGGAATTGCCAGGATTCCAGCATTTCCATATTAACATGAGGAATTGTCGGAATTACCCATAAGCAGCAGGCTGGAACAGCCAGAGGAGGAAGCAGCCACCTTTATATGTCATTTGTGGGAGATTGTGGGAGATTAAATTTAAATACATTGTTGTTTGCCTTAATTGCTTGTTTGAAGCCGATTTTAGGGCTGCGTGATTGAAGGGCTCACACCATTAAGTGCTCAAACACAGCTAATACATTTTATAAATGGCCTGCGCAATTTCACAGGCAAAGAAGTTTCAGATAAAGAGCAGCCTCCAAAAAAAAAAAAAAAAAAAAGAAGAAAAAAGACAAAAAAAAGGAAAAAAAAAAGAAAAGGCAAAAGGAGGAAGTTCACCTGCAAGGGGGATCTGGGTGAGGCTCGTGCCACAATGAGCAGAAAGCTGGGAAACCCTAAATATGTGATTTTAAACCAGCAGGAATTCCAGTATCCAGCAGGGATTCCATTAAACCAGCAGGAATTCAATCATGCCCCAGTATCCAGCAGATCTCAATAAACCAGGAGGAATTCCACGATCCCCCAGTGTCCAGCAAATCCCATTAAACCAGCAGGAATGCCATGATCCCCCAGTATCCAGCAGATCCCACTAAATCAGCAGCAATTCCATCATCCCCCAGTTGCCCCAGTACCAACTGCCAGGGACCCCCGAGCTCAGCTTTGGGACGTTTTCCATGGAAACAAAAGGAAAATGGGATGGGGCAGAGTTTTCCCCACAAACAGCAGGAGAAGGAGCAGAGTTTCCCCCATAAACAGAAGGAAAATGGGATGGGGCAGAGTTTTCCCCACAAACAGGAGGCCAAGGGGATGGGAAGGAGAGGCTGAAGGAGCAGCAGCAGTTCCCGCAGGGCACGGCACGGAAGGAGCCCATCCCAAAATAGCGTTCTGGGGACCGTCTCTGTCACCTGTCACATTCCCAGCTGCTCCAGAGGGAACGGGAGCCCCGGCCCTGCCGGGCCCTGGGTTAATCCCTGCGAGAGGAACAGCCCCAGCTGATCCAGGGGCTCTGCTGGGAGCCCCGGCCGGGTTTGCACCCCGCAGATCCAGGGGCTGCTTTCCCCCCTGGGATCCCTGGAGCGGCAGCTCGGAGCGCTCTGGCTCGGGGATGAACCCGCCACAGTCCCGTTAAACCAAAATCCCATTAAAGCCCAAACCAAAACGGCCAAAATCCCATTAAAGCCCAAACCAAAACGGCCAAAATCCCATTAAAGCCCAAACCCAAACTAGCTAAAATGCCATTAGACCAAGCCCCAACCCCAAATCCAAAGCAGGCAAAATCGCACTAGACCAAACCTCAACCCCAAAGCCAAAGGTGCCGAAATCCCACGGGACCAAACCCTGACCGCAAAGCAGCCAAAATCCCATGAGACCAAATCCCAAAGCAGCCAAAATCTCATCAGACCAGACCCCAAAGCCAAAGGAGCCAAAATGCCATTAGACCAAACCCTGACCCCAGAGCAGCCCCCAATCCCACAGAGCAGCCCCCAGCCCCACCCAGCAGCCCCCAGAGCAGCCCCCAGGGCCGTACCTGTCCGCAGCCCGGGGCGCTGCACACGAAGGGCCGGTCGTCACCCATCCTGCACGGCCTGGGGAGCAGAGAAGGGACAGAAATGCTTAAACGGCCCCAAAAATCCCCACAGCACCCGCGGGAGCCACCCCTCTGCTGTGGACGGAATCATCCCGGCCCGTGTTCAGGATTTGGGAGGGACTGGGTGGGTTTTTGGGATTTTACAGCTGGAAGGGAACCTGGGAAGGGGTGGGAGCTTCCCTGGGCACCTGCAGCACCCACGGGTGTCACATCCCGAGGTGGGGACAGCAGCACAGCCCCCCCCCCCCCAAGCACAGCTCCACCTGTCCCCCCTCGTTTTCCCCACAAACAGCAGGAAAAGGAGCAGAGTTTTCCCCAGAAACAGAAGGAAAGGGGATGGAGCAGAGTTTTCCCCACAAACAGAAGGAAAGGGGATGGAGCAGAGTTTTCCCCACAAACAGAAGGCACAGGGATGGAGCAGAGTTTTCCCCACAAACAGAAGGCACAGGGATGGAGCAGAGTTTTCCCCACAAACGGAAGGCACAGGGATGGAGCAGAGTTTTCCCCACAAACAGAAGGAAAGGGGATGGAGCAGAGTTTTCCCCACAAACAGAAGGCACAGGGATGGAGCAGAGTTTTCCCCACAAACGGAAGGCACAGGGGTGGAGCAGAGTTTTCCCCACAAACGGAAGGCACAGGGATGGAGCAGAGTTTTCCCCACAAACAGAAGGAAAGGGGATGGAGCAGAGTTTTCCCCACAAACAGAAGGAAAGGGGATGGAGCAGAGTTTTCCCCACAAACAGAAGGCACAGGGATGGAGCAGAGTTTTCTCCACAAACAGAAGGAAAGGGGATGGAGCAGAGTTTTCCCCACAAACGGAAGGCACAGGGATGGAGCAGAGTTTTCCCCACAAACAGAAGGAAAGGGGATGGAGCAGAGTTTTCCCCACAAACAGAAGGCACAGGGATGGAGCAGAGTTTTCCCCACAAACAGAAGGAAAGGGGATGGAGCAGAGTTTTCCCCACAAACAGAAGGCACAGGGATGGAGCAGAGTTTTCTCCACAAACAGAAGGAAAGGGGATGGAGCAGAGTTTTCCCCACAAACGGAAGGCACAGGGATGGAGCAGAGTTTTCCCCACAAACAGAAGGCACAGGGATGGAGCAGAGTTTTCCCCACAAACGGAAGGCACAGGGATGGAGCAGAGTTTTCCCCACAAACAGAAGGCACAGGGATGGAGCAGAGTTTTCCCCACAAACAGAAGGCACAGGGATGCTGTGGGGCCAGGGCACACCCTGGGACCCCGGGGATGCTCGGAGCCAGCCCGGGGATGCCCCAGCACAAACAAACCAGCGGGGACAGCGGCAATGCACGGAAAACAAAGTGCGAGCGAGCAGCCGTCCAATAAATCCACGGCCTCTCTCTGCGCCGGTTATATTTTCAATGGGAGAGAGCTAAAATTTGTCATTTAATTAATTAAGGGATTATAGGAGTGGTGCTCCGTTTTACAAGGCAATAATCGGGCTCCCCAGTGGGTAAACTACAAGGCTGATGGCAGGGGCAGTTTATCACGGATTACAGCCAAGGATAACAAAACACTCTCTCCTATTATGCTACAAGTGAAGCTGCTCTCATTAATAAAAAATAAGAGTAAATAAAGCAAAACCCTCCCCCCCAGACTCAAACTGGGAATGACGGCTCCCTGCTCCACGCACTGGTATTTTAGAGCAGGATTTCAGAGAGATGTGATAAAGCAGTGCTGTTTGCACTTCGTTCGCACTCACAGCACAGCCCCAGGGTCGGTATTTTTGGGAGCTGTGCGAGAAAGGAGCTCCGGGAATGCGGCAGGGACAGCGGGAAGGGATCAACGAGCCGCTGGGAACGAACAGAGCCGCTGATCCTCTGCTGCAGGAGGGGAATCGCTGCCCACAGCCCCGGCAGGGTGGGAGAGGAGCCGGGATCCCACCAGGCAGAGCCCCGTGCTGGGTTTGGGGCTGGATTCACAGAGCCGGGATCCCACCAGGGCAGAGATGCTGGGCTGGGTTAGGGGCTGGGTTAGGGGCTGGGTTTGGGGCTGGATTCACAGAGCTGGGATCCCACCAGGCAGGGCCCCGTGCTGGGTTTGGGGCTGGATTCACAGCCGGGATCCCACCAGGCAGAGATGCTGGGCTGGGTTAGGGGCTGGGTTTGGGGCTGGATTCACAGAGCTGGGATCCCACCAGGCAGAGCCCCGTGCTGGGTTTGGGGCTGGGTTAGGGGCTGGGTTTGGGGCTGGATTCACAGAGCTGGGATCCCACCAGGCAGGGATGCTGGGCTGGGTTTGGGGCTGGATTTACACAGCCAAACCCCGGGGGCAGTGCGGACAGCAATGGGGATAAATGTCCCTGTCACTGCCGGCGATGGGGATAAATGAATGTCCCTGTCACCGGCAGCAATGGGGATGAATGTCCCTGTCACCAGGGGCACGGGCTGGCGGCCAGAGCCCGGCCCAGGGGGAACAAAGGCACCCGAACACAGCAGCGGGCCAGGAACCCCAAAAGGGACACGGGAGACGGCAGAGCAGGGACAGCAGCAAGGACAAACCCTGCCCAGGCCTGGAGGGGACAGCGGAGCTGTGCGTGGATCCGGCTGATCCCGGGGATCCCCCGCTCCAAATGATGCCACCATTCCCAAAGCAGGATTTAACTGATCCCACCATTCCCAAAGCAGGATTTAAATGATGCCACCATTCCCAAAGCAGGATTTGACCAATCCCACCATTCCCAAAGCAGGATTTAAATGATGCCACCATTCCCAAAGCAGGATTTGACCAATCCCACCATTCCCAAAGCAGGATTTAAATGATGCCACCATTCCCAAAGCAGGATCCAGCTGATCCCCCCATCCCCAAAGCAGGATTTGACTGATCCCCCCATTCCCAAAGCAGGACCCAGCCGCCCCTGGCTGCGCAGCACACACAGCACACACAGGACACACACACACACACACGTGTGCTCAGATTTATGTCACGTTTAGCCGGGATGAATTCCCTCCATAAATCCTGTGCTCAGGAAGAGGCCGAGGCAGGAGCTGGTTGGGGCTGGGAGCTCTCTCCCGGCAGCCCTGGCATGGCGTTGGCACTGCTGGGGTGGCACTGGCACGCTCTGGGAACAGGGAAAGGCAGATTGGTCTGGGGGAGCTCCAGGAGGATGTTTTTCTCCCCCAGGAATTTGGGGTTTCTCCCAAGAAATTTGGGATTTCTCCCCCAGGATTTTGGGGATTTCTCCGGCAGGATTTTGGGGATTTCTCCCCCAGGATTTGGGGATTTCTCCCCCAGGATTTTGGGGATTTCTCCCCCAGGGATTTGGGGATTTCTCCGGCAGGATTTGGGGATTTCTCCCCCAGGATTTTGGGGATTTCTCCCCCAGGGATTTGGGGATTTCTCCGGCAGGATTTTGGGGATTTCTCCCCCAGGATTTGGGGATTTCTCCCCCAGGGATTTTGGGGATTTCTCCCCCAGAGTTTGGGGGTTTCTCCCCCAGGAATTTGGGGATTTCTCCCCCAGGATTTGGGGATTTCTCCCCCAGGAATTTGGGGATTTCTCCCGCAGGGATTTGGGGATTTCTCCTTCACTGCAAACCCAGCTGTGGCTCCTGCAGCGCCTCGATCCCCGTGAGAAATGCCACCAAACAGCGAAAATCACCTTTCCTTCACCCTCAGCGTGGGGACGGAAGGAACTGCCTGGAGCTCGGCCCTGCTGAATGCCGGGCACGGAGCTGGAAACGCTCTAAAAATAAAGTTCTATTGTTGTCCTGGCACGTGACATTCCCGCTGCGGGAAGGCTGGTGCCCGGGGATTGCAGCTGGGCACTGCGGGATGGGCAGGAATGCGCTGGGAACGAGCTGGGAATGAACTGGGAATTGTACTGGGAACTGCACTGAGAACTGCACTGGGATTGCCCTGGGAATTGCACTGGGAATGCTGCAGGCCCCAAAGAATACTCGGGGAGATGCAGACACTGTTCTGAGCCAGCAGGGATCCCTCTCCGGGACAGATCCCTCTCCACCACAGCTCTGGGCTATGCCCGTAAACCACGAGGATAAACTCCACATTAACGTGACCACACAATCAAAGCTGAGGGCTGCACCAAGCACGAACCAAACCCAGCAGGGCTGCGAGAGCCGCCTCCCAAAAACGGGCTGGGCCTGAGGAGGCACAAACCGGGCCGGGTTAATTCTCAGAGCCCAGGAGCGCCAGCCCAGCTCCATGGGGTTAACTCGGAGCCCAGCGAGCGCCATCCCAGCCCAGCTCTGTAGGGTTAATTCTGAGCCCAGCGAGTGCCAGCCAAGCCCAGCTCTGTAGGGTTAACTCTTGGCCAGCCCCGCTCTGTAGGGTTAACTCTTGGCCCAGCCCAGCTCTGTAGGGTTAACTCCTGGCCAGCCCCGCTCTGTAGGGTTAACTCCTGGCCAGCCCAGCTCCATGGGGTTAATTCAATCCCAGCTCCATGGGATTAACTCCTGGCCAGCCCAGCTCTGTAGGGTTAACTCCTGGCCAGCCCAGCTCTGTAGGGTTAACTCCTGGCCAGCCCAGCTCTGTAGGGTTAACTCCTGGCCAGCCCCACTCTGTAGGGTTAACTCCTGGCCAGCCCCGCTCTGTAGGGTTAACTCCTGGCCAGCCCAGCTCTGTAGGGTTAACTCCTGGCCAGCCCAGCTCTGTAGGGTTAACTCCTGGCCAGCCCCACTCTGTAGGGTTAACTCCTGGCCAGCCCCGCTCTGTAGGGTTAACTCTTGGCCCAGCCCAGCTCTGTAGGGTTAACTCCTGGCCAGCCCCGCTCTGTAGGGTTAACTCTTGGCCAGCCCAGCTCTGTAGGGTTAACTCCTGGCCAGCCCAGCTCTGTAGGGTTAACTCTTGGCCCAGCCCCGCTCTGTAGGGTTAACTCTTGGCCAGCCCCGCTCTGTAGGGTTAACTCTTGGCCCAGCCCCGCTCTGTAGGGTTAACTCTTGGCCAGCCCCGCTCTGTAGGGTTAACTCTTGGCCCAGCCCAGCTCTGTAGGGTTAACTCTTGGCCAGCCCAGCTCTGCA